GTGTGTGTGAGAGAGAGAGAGAGAGAGAGAGAGAGAGAGAGAGAGAGAGAGAGAGAGAGAGAGAGAGAGAGAGAGAGAGAAAGGACATGAGCATAGTCTTGGATGTGCATCAGCATATGCATGTGTCATCATCTTCCGCTCAACACAACTCCACAGAAAAAGCATGACTGTGACAGACTATTTTGCCAGTCGTTTTCCCACTAGTCAGTATATCCAGCATCCATGTGACGAATGTATTTGACTCACCACCTTCAAGTTGCCCGAAGTGAGCGAAACCCTCAATAGAATCGGTTGAATCTACTCACGCCAACCTTATTATCCTACCTTCTTCCCCCGAATACAACGTACGGTCATTATAGCTGTATCTAGACTGAAAGATGCCTCAAATACAGCTATAATGACCGGACGTTGTATTCGGGGGAAGAAGGTAGCGGCACTGACCTGCGCGCTCGACAGTCTGGGAACAAGAGCAATCAATGGAGATCGGCGGCACGATTTCATCTGCAGGAGAGTGATTAAGAGATCCTGACCCCTGACCTGCGAACTCAACAGTCAGAAACGTTTAATACTGGCCGCCTTCTTCCCCCGAATAGAACACATGGTCATTATAGCTGTATTTGGGGCCACATTCATTCTAATCAGATACAGCAATAATGACCGTAAGTTCAATTCATGGGAGGAGAGTAGAGTGGAATCATGCCCGGGGCTTTCAACTTCTGGCATGAGCCAGGACAAAGGAAGGGTTCCCGGCGGGGGGGACGAAGGCCGGCGCGTCGAGGGTCCTAATCAGCGGAATTGTTAGAATCTGACCACACATTGCGCACAGATCAACGGCCACGAACGGAGAATCCGGGTAAGTAGGACCTCTCCGCAAGAACAAGATTGATTCAATGATTGTATTTGTTCCGGCACATTGCCACTAAACACGTCTAGGTTCGTCTACTTCCACGCACACGTTCCCAATTTATTTTCTTTATTGAACCGAACACACTACACATTCTCTCTCTCTCTCTCTCTCACACACACACACACACACACAAACACACACACACACACACACACACACACACACACACACACGCGCGCGCGCGCGCACGCACGCACACACGAAAGGTCTTTCTACTTTCTGCGACACTTGTTTACCTCCCTCCTTTCTGGCGTCATGTGTATTATATACAAAATTTCCCTTCTTTGAGTAAGGTTCCCCGTCCTCTACTACGCTCGTTTTTCTCTACCTCATATTACCCCTACTCCGACACAATCTTTACGCACCCATCACATCGTCTAAGAGCACCCTCACACCAAGACTTTTGACTGGCCTCACGCATCTGTAACAAGATTGACCCGTTGACTAACTGGTCAATGGAGAGATGGAGAGATGGAGAGATGGAGAGATGGATTGACTAATCCATTAAACCCACTGCCTCGATGTGCGATTGAAAGAAATAAATGATTCACTGATCCACTGATCGACTTATCGCCTTATCGATTACACGATCGTATACTACATTTATGATTGATTTATCCATAGATTGATTGATTGATTGATTGATTGATTGATTGATTGCCAGTCCAATATCGTTCTACTTCGTCGGGCGACGATTACGCACCGAAGACCAAACGGGGACTCGAGCAACGACTTGCACACGCGTACTTCAGCCAAACAATCACTCAGGCAACCACTTATACACGTGTACATCAGCCACACGCGCGCTCGGACGGCGACGTATACACGTGTACAGCAGCCTACGTGAGCCTAACTAGACCTCATTCATATTTTTTTCAGTATTTACAGTTCACTTACAGCTGTGCGTACCCTTATGTCAGCCTTTGATATTGTACGTATTCATCCATTTTCGATCTATCTTATCCTTCAACCACCACACCCAACCTCCCTCCAGCACGAAAGAGCCTCTCGCACCCACGGCGTACTTATTTCCCGTGCTGACCAGTGTTAGAAATCGTGATTGTGGCACGAACGGACGCAGTCCTTGTCTGGCGGAGGCCTGCCGCTCATCATCCTTCTTCGGTACATTCTCCTTGATTGCCGCGAATCTTCTGCGAAGGTTCTCCACAAGCGGCGGCCCCTGCCTGACTGCGAACACCCCGGCTTTGGGCCTTGGGTACTTCACCGAAGAGTGAATGTCTCCAGTGGCAAACACATCTGGAACGTTGGTTGACATCAAGTACTCATCCACTTTAATGAACCCTTGATCGTCTAGCTCCAGTCCTGTTTCTCGCAGGAAGGGAGCCGCACCTCCCTCCGTGCACCACAAGCATTCGTCAAACTTATACTCTACACCATCGCTCCCCTTCATCCACCCCTTTCCCATTTCCACCACGGTGCTTCCCTGCACAAGTTCGACCCCTCTCTCTCCCAAGATCCTTACGAAGATGCTCCTCATCTTCTTGGGATAACTTGGCAGCAAAGCTTTGCCAGTGTGGAGACGAAGCTTCACCTCCACCTCCCTCCATTCTCCTCCTCCCCCTTTTCCTCCCTCCTCCTCCTGTCCCTTCTTCTCCCTCTGACTTCTCTTCCTCCTCACCTCCTCCAAATCCTTCATCAGCCGATGCTGCACGGCCAGTGTAACCTCCACCCCACTTGCCCCTCCCCCCACCACGGCTATCGTCACTGTCACCCGCGGCGATGGCGACGAGGTCGACCTACTCCCATCACCATCACCGGAAGCAGCAGCAGCACCATCAGGCGGATCTCGGGAAGAAGAAGATGAAGTTGAAGATTGGGCCATGATAGCTTGGTCCAGCACCCTCTTCCTCATCTCCTCCCATTTCACACTGAATTGATCGATTGGCTTGACTGGAATGGAGTGCTCTCTCGCACCTGGAACCTTTTCTTGCACGGGTCTGCTCCCTATGTCGATAGCCAGCACGTCGTAGCGTATGAGCTCTCCTCCTGGAATCTTTACCAACTTGGACTGCACATCGATCCCCTCCGCTGCCGCGTGGATCAATCTAGCGTTGGCGAGTCGAGACAGAGGAGCGAGATCCACGTGGCAGTCGTCGTACGTGTAATGACCTGCGACGAAACCGGGGAGCATCCCACTGTACGGTGTGCGCACGTCGCGGGTAACCACAGTCAGCCGCACTCCGGGTATAGGCCTCTCCCCTAAGCATTTCAAAACGTGCACGTGGCTATGTCCTCCACCAAGAAGGACCAGATCTTTCTCCTTCGTGTCCCTCCCTTTCCCCCCTGTTTCGTCCATCTCCCTTCTCTCTGCCCCTCCCTTCACAATCACCTTTTCGCCCTCTGCTACAACTTTTACTACAGACGCAGACGAAGAAGAAGGACAAGGAGGACAAGGAGGAAGAGGAGGAGGAGGGTCCAGGACAGATGAAGCAGCAGGAGAAGCAGCACAAGGCACTGAGGAAGAAGAAGAAGAAAACGATCGGTTCAGTAGAGGAGCACGAGGACAAGAGGAAGTTGAAAGATCTAGAGAGGCCAAGGATGCTTCGCATCCAACAATAAGAGCAGGGAGCACCAAGATCTGATGGAAACGCTTACGATGACGTGTCCATTCCACGCCTGCCTTGCCGCCATTCCAGTATAATGTGCACCTGGACAGGATTCTACACTTTATTGGAGAAACTGCTATAGGAGGACCAGGAATGACAATAGCCGGCATTTCCTTCGGAGTCCCTTAGTTCCAACGGTCCCAGTGTCGGCCCGAGCCAGTTCCCAGGTCAGCGTGAAACCCACAAGTCAGGACATGTGCGTGCGGGAAATTGTTTTTTTTTTTAATTTTATATTCTTCTCTCCACTCACCTTTCACTACCTGCCTACCACTACGCCTAAGGCTATACAGGGGGGGCTGTGCAAGTATAGCTACGGTAGCTACCTCGCGGACCGCCCGGCGTCGGTATGAGGAGGGGTCGCTGCCTTCTTCCCCCGAATACAACGTACGGTCATTATATCTTTATTTGAGGCATCTTTCCGTCTGAATACAGCTATAATGACCGTGCGTTGTATTCGGGGGAAGCAGGTAGCCAGCACGGGAGACTCTGCTGTTAGGCGGAGTTCAACTCCCGAAATTTGAATGATTTCCAGAGTGACGTGGCGAGGCCAAAAAAAAAAAAAAAAAAAGAAAAAAAAAGACGTGGCGGGTCCCTATTTGTGTCTGCTGCGTTGGCAGACATAGGATGGTTTCTTTTCAAAAATACTTCCACGTGGCCCCAACAAGTTACGAGGCGACCGGGAAACCACAAGTCAGGAAATATAAGCGGGAATTTGATGGACGATGGCACTGATGACCAAATTCAGTTGAAAAGAACACCCTCACTGTCTCGGCGCCGATGCCATTGCTTGTATCTGCTGCTTTGGCGGACGTGCGGGCCTAGCTCAGTTGGTAAGGCACAGAAGTTGCATTCAGGAGGTCGTGGGTTCAATCCCCCACAGTCACGTACGTGCCTGGGCAAGCTCGGTTTTCTACCAGCTGGAGGTAACCCGTTGGGACCCCCAAGCCAGCATTGGCAGGACCTTGGCTGATGTTGTTGGTTGCTATGCAGCTACAATATTGGCCATTAGACACCGCCATGTGGGGTTGGGGGGGGGGTAGGAGGAGGTGCAGTGACTGGCCATTGCTTGGCACCGCCGATTTCCCCCATCGCCAATGCCTGCTCACCCCACTGGTACAGCCTGGCTCTTGCACCACTGCTGTGGTGCCAACCTAACCCGTGGGCTAGGGAGAGATCCATGTTGGTTGGTGTTCCCCCGTACTATACATAGACAAGCAAGAGGATGAGATAGATGAGTACTGGCAAGAAGATGAGATAGATGAGAGAAGAATATAGCGTACTTAAAAAAAATAAAAATAACAATAAAAATAAAGACAGGGCCTGGCCACACCACTCCTGGAATGTGCGAAACGGAGCATCAATCTGCAGAAACATAGAAAGATACACCCGCCATAGGTTTTGCCTTTTCACATCCCATGAGTGATGTGGCCATGCCCATTGCTAAATGGAACATGTATCTTCCGCACAAACATAGAAAGAACATGAAAAGACAGAACGTGGTAGAATCAGTGGCATCATCAACAAAGTTCATGAGGGACCCTGGACCCGGTTCCCAGCACGTCCCGTTTTACCAACTGAACAATGTATCTCAGGGGACGATGGGCCGGCTTTCCAGCAGGTGTAGCTCCCGACCAATAGACTGGAGCCACGTGCAAGACAGGCATCCCGTCCTTGATGTCTGGAGGGAGACAACAAAAAAAGCTATGTTCGCAGGGTCCCCTGTATAAGCCTTAGGAGAAGTGGTAGGTTCTAGGTAGGTAGTGAAAAGGTGAATTGAAAGAATTTGAAAGGTGATGAAAGATTTGAGAGAAGAATATACCATCGCTCCCATCTGCCAACAGGGGCGGAATTTTCCTATCTTAAAAAAAGGCCCTGTCCGCCACCTGGGCCATGAATTACTTTTTATTTTTTTAAACACACGTAGGGACCCCCAGTTTCAGCTCCTGACTAACAGGTCCAAAACTGAAATTAGAGTTTGGGGGTCAATTTTTATTTTTATTTTTATTATTATTTTTTGCCTATTTTTGTTTTGGTTCAAGGTTGTTGTGTACCGAATTTGGTCTCATTTGGAGCATTGGAATTTCCTCTGCTAAGATTTCTGAATTTTCTCAAGATTTCTGAAACTGAATGTTGGCAAAATTTGCATGAAAGTGCACTTTTGCCTTGCTGTTTTATAGGGTGGTGTTTTTTTTTTTTTTTTTTTTTTTTTTTTTTTGCAGTTAGTGACTATGGTCTCTACTCTATGACTTCAAGGTGGTGGCAAGTTTGGTTAAAATGACCCTTGGATTTTGTTATAAATGGCATGCCAAGTTGTCTGAAAATTAGGGCCTCCCGTGGTCGCGCCAGGCAGATGTTGCACTTGGGGGCGTATGCTATAATAAGCCCGGGGGCCAGGCGGTCGCACATACAAAGAAAAGGGCATGCAGACCTGCAATGGGGTTGGCTGGGAGTAGTAAGGGTTAGGATCGTGGAAGGTGGAGGCAACACTCAGTTTGCTTTCCAACCATCCACCCCCATTGCGGCGCTCCCCTTCAACCTGATAGAATGGGAATGACCAAAGGACGGCGCCACCGAGCCCCTCAGACTATGGCAATACACTGTTAAGCAGGGGTATAGGATTGTGCATTAAAAGAAACCATCAGACCGCACACTAATCAAACAGAGGTGGAAATGAGACTCTATTCTGCCAGCAGGGGACCTCCAAAACTTTAGATGGTCGTACGGCTCTCTCGTAATGCCAACCTCACACAAAGTCCTCCGATGGCAGATCCTCTATTGATGCTTACCCGCACCTAATTGGTTGTTCTCCGTAACAAACTTGGAGCAATAAAGCTGACTGTCCCCGACATGCCAATATTGTGGAGGACTCGATGCTCAGACCCATCATGAAGCAACAAAAAATTAAAGAAGCACAAGACCAATTCATACAAGAATGGTTGGGCCCCAACAAGGTCCAGGCCGAAATACAGGGATCACAGTTGCAATGGAACAACTGGAGGGCCAAGGAACACACATGGGCCTGATATGACGTCCAAACCTTACACCTTGTCCTATCTTTCGGTCCAAGTGATTGATTATGCGGAATAGGCCACGAAAGAACAGTAAAATGGGGTGTGCCAAGGATTTTTGGGAATATTGAGTGCGGGGTCATAGACGGAACTGAAAGCCCCTGTACGGTTCCAGTTTTAGTGAGGAAGGACCATAGTCGCACCTGGAAGAAATGGCGCGCACTACTTTCAAATGTTCGCCTAATCCAAAAAGTATCTTTGCACTTCCATGCGGGCTACTAGTCGTTTTTCGAACGAAGAGGTTGGGGTACACACGTGGGATCTCGTTTTTGAATAAAGTCCTGGTGTCGTTCACTATAGAGTTCGGAATCCGAGGTGGATGGCCTCAGCCTGGTCGCTCTTTCCTTATGTTCGTTCTCGCCGCGTGTCCGGTAGTGGAACCCCTTCTCCCGGTAATGCTCGGTGCAGTGACGATTGTTACATAGAGTGTTGGGCCAATGAGGCGCTACTGCCATTCCACGGGATGATAATCAGTTCGTTAAAAGGTCGGGCAATAAGAAAGAGTACGGGAAAAACTGGGTATCGATAATGACAAAACCAGCGCCCACGAAGTCCGGACACCTCATTTTGGGTGGAAAATAATAGTGTCCGCCGATCTTGGCAACAACTTCCCGTACGACCCACTCACATATACGTGTCCTTTCCTCGTTATACGGGGATGGTTGCAATGAAGATACTGAAAGTCGGCACCCGGTTGGATATGAACAATCGGTCCACATGGCATAAGCAAAGTTTGAGCACGTAAGTCCACCCAATCAGTTATTCAATCACAGAAGTGAACAGTCACAATGTTACGTGCTCTATTGCCTTTCATCCATCCGACGAACCAATCCAAAATAATATGAGTTCAATTTAGTCAAGACGACAATCATCATTTATTGAACGAGGTGTCAGTATGCATTCACATCACATAGCCACGACTTCCCTGAAGCTGGCAGACGGGTTGAGAGAGAGATTCTCGGACGCGCTTGTGGGTCTTATAGTTGCGAAGAGGTAAATAGAAGATGGGGAAAAGTGGGGTGGAGATAGGAGGGGCTGAAGAGAGAGTTTGGGTTAATCTCCCAGGGAAAGTCATATTGATCCCCATGAGTTCCTTCGCAACTAATCAGATCATAATGTGCAAGGAGTAATCTCCTTACACGGTGTCGCCTGACGACTCGAATATTCTGGGGGGAAATCGGTAGCCTGAGGGAGCTCTTGTATGGGGATGAAGGCGGGAAGGAGAAAAGCGCGAACAGTAGTGTGGAGCGGGACCAAGATTCATGATACGTGGAGGAGTGAGGGAAGCGCGAAGGGAGAGGGGATGAAAAACAATTACGGGTGAAGGAGGGAAGGCGTGAAGAAGAGAAGGGTGAAGATGGCATTGGTCATATCGGCAAACCGGAAAAGCTTGCATGCATGGCGCGGGTATATAAAAGAAAAAGGCACCGAAACAATTACGTCTCATCCATTCAAGTTCTAAAACTAATTCAAGATTGAAAATTTCAAAAGCAATATCATCACGTGGAATTGAGCGAGCAAAAATCCTATGTCTATCTAGCTTCCTACTGAAAATTAATAGATCTTTTAGGGGCGGGTATGAGAATATCCACTCACAAGAAATGACATGTCAGCGAGAGGAGCGCTCTTAATTTTCGGAGTTCCCAACTCCCGAACAAAATTCTTAGCGCGCTCACTAAGGTGCACGTAATTCCTACGTAGATGTATGGATTGCCGAAACGAAATTGCAAAGAAGTCCAAAAGAAACATCGTCTTAGACAAGTCTGGTTGGATTGCGATTCCGTGCACTAAGGTGATAGCAATAAAAAGGGGTACCCCTAAAAGCCCAAGAGAGATCCAAAAAGTAAAAACAACTAAAACTCAGGGCTTTAGAAAATTGTTCGGGTACGGAAGCTAGTATGTCATATATGTGACGTTCAGGGGGTTCCAAAATTATACAATCTCCTGATTGCATGCACGTAAGTCCTGCCAGTGCTAATTTACATGAGAAAGAGAGGGAAGGAGAGAGAGGAACCCAACGTATCAACAAGCAGAGGAGCACACATTGCCACATCAGCCAGAAAAAAGAAGCACATGTTGTTGCAATATCCTCATGAAGTCTGTCGTCGTGCCTCACTGATAATCGTCCACTGTCCAGGAGTGCCTTGTTGTCTTCTAGATGGCATCATCTAGATCT